ATCTTACTTTGGAGTAAAGCTGTTATATCGCCATATTGAGATCCAGGTAATCCTGGTGGGCCAGGTGGGCCTGGAAGACCAATCTGCAGCCCATGATCTAGAAGACAGAAAAAAATCCATAAATCTTTTAAAAATGTGACCAATGTACCAGTGTCTTTATATATTTCTGGTTTGTCCCCCATCAACCCTACCACTATAAAAATCTGCATTGTTGTCAGTGCATAAATACGTTTACCCCACTAGCTGTGGCACAGTTTTGCTATGTTGATGTGTGCAGGTGTGATTGACAAGCTGCTAAATTAAATAAAAATGATAAACTTACTTTGTAACATGGACAGGATTTCTTCATAAGTTATAGCTGGACCTACAATTGCTCCTCTGCTATCGGTTGAAGTCAATCCTGAACCTAACAATATAAAACAAAGAGGATGTACTTGTAGGATCTATTTTCATGCTCATATGTTTTATTTTACAAGATAATACAACACAACTGTAAAACAGAAGGGAGCAAAGACAAGGTATAGGTACGAAATATGTGTACAGATGTCATAGAAGCAATAACTGGTAAGGCATATATAACATATCATGGGATCTATTTTTTGAACACGTGGCAAAGAGCAGTAGTACGCAGCTACCTTTATCATCCATTCAGAATTCACCTTTGACTAATTTGGCCACTTTATGCTGCTGAAGGATGAATTCTGATTGGTTGTTATGGAACACTGCACATTCTGGTAATAAACCAATCAAAATGTGTTGAATGTTCTTAAATAAAGATCATTTTTCAAAAAATTGAGGTACTTAATATTTTTTCCCAACACTACGTATCCAGAACATACCCCTTATATAACTCATAACTCGGCTTGCCAATTCTGCATAGTCCACTGCTTGTCCACTGTCTCCTGGTGGCCCAGGTGGTCCCTGTGGTCCAATAAGGTAATTTCTGACATTTTCACCTGCTCAAGAAAAAAGACATGTTAATTAGGTGTCATGATTTTCTGATATTACCTATTTTTCGACAATACATTTTGGTTTATTGAATATACATTTAACTACTCAACTCGTAGACCTCATATAATCAGTTTACTATGCTAGATACTTAATCATTCTTACTTTGGAGGACATATCAACTGGGTGCCATGAACCCAAGCTAAATCGGTTCTAAAAATGTATGTTTTTTTTAACTTTCCTGTACTTTTATGATATTTCCTATGATTCCTGTATATCTTGTGGTTTATTGAATATACATTGAACGTCTCCACTCAGCCCTTATATAACCAGTTTACTATGTCAGATACTTAATCATTGCTTCCTTTGGAAGACCAGTCAACTGGATGTCATGAACCCAAGCTATACCTGTTCTGTTTTTTAAACTTTCCTGCACGTTTATAATATTGCCTATTATTACATTACGTCTGGTGGTTTATTGATTATACATTGTACTAGTCAACTCATAGATATCATGTAACTAGTTTACTATGTCAGATACTTTATCATTACTTACTTTGGAGGTATTGAGCAATGTACTGTTGGACTTCTTCTGCTCCACGAGCAGAACTGCCAGGTTCACCAGGAGTACCAGGTGGACCGGGAGGACCAGGTGGACCAGGTGGACCAGGAGAACCAGGTTGGCCTTGGCCAGGTCTTGCTCCAGGTGGGCCTAAAAAGTTAAAATAGGCATTTATAAATATTGTAGACCAAATATTAAAATATTGCTGCACAAATCTAAAAAAATATTTCTCTCAGCCTACAAGTCCTTTGGTAAGACATTTAGAGGTGTAGCAGCCTGCAGTAAGTATGCCTACCATAGTAATGGACTGTTATGAAAGCTTTAAAAATATCAGTCATAGAAAAACAGAATAAAAGATTACCAGAAAATGTATCATTATCTTTAACATGTACTTACAGAAGATGAACTATACTATCATGCTAAATAATGTTAAAATGTGCTTTCCAGCAAATGTAACTGTCCCCTATTGGTTTTATGCTTTGGCACTGTGACTGTGACTGTAGATTAGGGCTGTTTTATAGCCAAGTCATTACTACATTTATACTATCTATATAGATTTTTACTCACCTCTGGAGCTTCCTGGGATACCGGGAGCACCTGGGATACCAGCTTCACCTGCAAGTAATTTTAATCACATTAGATACTTAAACTGCTGATCTTCTTAGTTTACTTTATTCTGTAATGTCGTACTTTAAAGCTCTGAGTCACTTAGGTATGTGCAATGGTACTGTGGTAATAAACATGTGGGCTAGTGAATTTGCACAAAACTAGTGGTTTTGTAAGCCCGACAACCCTTATATGCTAATACCTGTTAACTAACCCCACCACTATTTGCCCTAAAGCCTAAACCTACTCCTAAACATACATTCTGCCCTAGTCTAATCCTAACATAGGTGCCCCTGATGAGATGTCCATTTGAGGAAAAAGGGGTGGGAAAATGTTTAATATTGATAGCACCTCATGAAAATCACTGGATGGCCCGGTTTGAGAGCTCATACTTTGGTAGTTACCAGATCTAGGAAATATAAATTACCTCTTTCTCCGGGTTGTCCGGGCGCTCCTGGGCTTCCGGGGGATCCAGGTGATCCTGGAGATCCTGGGGTTCCTGGAGGTCCAACAGCTGGAATGAAAATGTAAAAATCAGACTTTCATATCTAATTACCGTGTTTCCCCGAAAATAAGACAGTGTCTTATTTTTACGGGAAACACGGTAGTACCATATAGTTATTAAACCAATGTAACACAAAACTGCTTATACAGTATGTGCAGTTTTTATGTAAGATAAGGCTCTCACCGTCACGGCCTGGTTGTCCGGGAAGTCCTGGCTGACCTGGATCACCGGGTTGTCCTGTGAGATAGAAATTCAGTTATTTATAGACATAATTCAAATTATTTTTTTATTTTACACTTAGCAGGCATGACTGTATTCCCTTTCAATTTTGGCATGCATGTCAATATTTCTTCCATAAAAATGTTTAGTAAAATAAACATGGCTATGGCAATATATGATAACTTCCTAGGAGGTGTTTGGCCAGACAGGGTGACATTTACTGTATGGATGTTCAGCTAACAAGTACCATACAAGTACAAGTACAGATACTTTTGAGCTCCAAGACCAGACTAGAGAAAAACTCAAGTTAGGAGCAAGCTGTCATTTTTAAGGGGCATACGGAGCTCCTGGGATTTGTGCATAGCTGCAACCACTACAACCCTGGTAGTTTCACGTGAAAATGCCAAGTATCAGTACTAGTATCTGAACATCCCTAATTTAATGCTTTGATTTTTGTTTATAATATCAACACATTGATGAGATACAGTGATATGCTATTTCTGCTATCACTACAAAACATGTACAAAGAGAGTAAGAACATGAAAAAATATATTTTTTATTTTTACCTGATTGTCCTGGAATACCTCTTTGACCTGGATCACCTATAGGAATGAAAAACGATACTGATGATGGTCTGTAAATTAAATACATTCCTTTACCACTATTTGCAATATAGGAAGATACATTAAGTTGTTCTTCACTGATTATATATAATTTTTAAAATGGGAGACAATGAAAAGTTTAGAGCAAAGTGAAAGAGAACAGCTGGTTGTTATGGAAATACATGCAAAATTTAAATTTGATTCTGTTTTTAGACTTGTTTTTGTAAACTAAGTCCAGTGCTTATTGCTGACTATCAGCCAGTTGGATGTAAAATAGCATTGCAGTGAAAATCCTCATGTTGCAATTGGATCACCCTAATTTGCTAAGACACTAGTTGCCAAGTAACAGCTTAAAAATGTTGAGTGGATATTAGGAGAACATATGATTATCATTTATTGCTGACTGTCTTGGGAATTAACTTTGGTCCAATTAAAACCAGGATAATCTTAAGCAATTTTAGCTGTTAGAAATCTCAACATTCTACTTTTGACTGCTTTCTCTGCAATGGGAGGGCAATGAATAGATAGGGCAGTACTTGTTACTCGTAGAGACTGACTGCCTGCCCCCTTCCACTTCCTGTGCTACTTCATGCGGATTAATAGAACAGCGCTCACACATAACATGGAGGAAGCCTGTACTGCATGCATCTTGCTGTTAATTTTTTCCCCTTGTCTTGGCACATTTAGCTATTCTATCTAGAAATATAAGATATTAGCATTTTTGTCTTTTGTCTCTTTTGCTTGTAGGACTGCTAATATGCAAATTAGCTGAACTCCTAAACAACATATGAACCTGTACAGAGCAAAGCACCAGGAACATGTTAATGTAAAATCCCCCCTCTCGCATAGATTTACCTTTTCTTTGCTCCCTTCCCTGCTGATAAGGAATAGAAGTGTGCAGTACTCACTTCCCTTCTCTTATGTGACAATGCTGGTGCTTGGTGATTGGCCCAGCGCTGTCAAATGGTAGTGGGGAGGGATTTATCAGCCTTGTGTAAGCTTTGACTAAGATCCTTTTTTCTTTAGTACTCGGTGGGAACAGAGTATCAGAGGAGCAGAAGAAAAATGAGTATGGTGGGGCTGGCTGTTTGCTTTGTTCATCATTGCCACAGACTGTGGCAGGGAAGACCATGTGCACCATGGATAAAGCTTAATTACTCACTGTATAAGAGCTTCTCAGAGTACGTCCCTGACACTTACAGTGCTTTTTGCATTGCTCTTACCTGGGTCTCCTTTAACTCCTGGTGAGCCAGGAGGTCCGGGTGCACCAGAAACAGAGGCTTCTGTAGAAACAAAGCAAAGTATTTTTTCAGTTACCAACAGACTTTCTATTAGATATTTGGCAGACAGTGAGCAATTAAAACTGCCTGCATACCTGCTGATCCTGGAGAACCAGGCGTGCCTGCTGGGCCTGCTGGACCTGATGGACCTGGTGGACCTGATGGACCTGGGGCTCCCTGTTTAGCTTCTCCTGAATAACACAATCAGAAATGAACATTAGGTACTGTTTCACTGTTAGGTTAGGTACATCAATATATCAAGGTACATCAATTCACTGTTAGGTACATCAATATAATTCTTATCTTTGAAAAACCTAGAAAGAAATAAAGAGGATCAAAATGTTTTAAGGAAATCATATACATAATTTAGCTAAAGGATGTTTGCATGAAAAGCAAAACTTTGTGTTCTATCACCTTTTAACCAATTAAATGTAGCTTTCTGTAGTCTAGTCCAATTAATCTATGGAAATCTGATATCAGATAAGTCAAAATGGATTTCCATTCCTTATTGTTGTTTGTACCACTTTATTAAATAATGATTTAAATGGATAGGTACATTGTTAAAGTTGGGATAATGACACAAAGGGATTGATTTACTAACGGAGTAAAGCATGTTCACTCTGCAAGGGAATTATCACTTTAAGAAGGAATTTTCATGTAGCTTAGGGGATATGGCGAGAATTCACTTTTACAAAGAGTTCGTTACCACATGCAAATGAAAATGAAAGACAGAAGTCAGCACAGCTTCCCCACATTCACAAAGCTAAGTGAAAATTCCCTTCGTAAAGTGAAAAATTGTCTTGCAATGTGAACAAGCTTTATTAATTTAGTAAATCAACCCCCAGGGGGTGCAGGTAAAAATCTAATATTCATTGTCTTATTAATGGTCTTTTCTAGCTAATTTGAACTGTTACCTTCAGAACAGGCCAGGAATAAGTTTTGTACTTATCACATACAGAATATCTGCATGTTCTGGTTATGCTAAATTAAGCAAGGACTTACCTGGTGGCCCTGCTTGGCCTGGTGGACCTGAAGGTCCTGCTGGACCTGAAGGTCCTGGAGGACCTTGGGAACCTGATTGTCCTGGTGGGCCCTGTATGGAAGCACCTAAAGAAGAAAAACAGAATATCTAGGTTATGATGACCACATTTATAAGATTGGAGTATTAACATTATTTTTGTTTGTTCCATTTAGAAGTAGTGAGACAGTGTAACCAGTCAAGACATGCTGAGGAAACAAAAGGCCCCACGCTAAAATGCAATGAAAGGAGCCCTAGACCTCTTGCAACATTTTAAAGGATGATGTTATTTCATTGTTGTCTATGGTTTAATAGGATGGACTTTTATTTGTCTGTTGATGTGTGTTGAATGGCATTAGATTTAATGTAGACCCAGGGGTGATGCCACCTAGACACATCTGTAGTTCTTCTAATTACCTCCATCTCTGGCTGCTCTGTTCTCACTTGCCAGGATTATGTGTTGTCCTCAGTGAATTCAAGGAGAAGCTGCAGTACAAACATAAAACTAGCAGCTGAAGTGCTGAAGAGCACAAGACTAGGATTGTCAGACTAGGATTGCGGGAATGAATACTATTTTACACAAAAGTTGCCACATCTACTTTCACCTAAAATGAAATCATTATTTGGGGTGTACAATCTTCATAATTCTCTAGTCTAGCCCCTGCTATAAATTGTTCTAGAATGCTATTTTATTTATGCTGGCACCTGTTCTTGTAAATGATGCTTGAGTTTAGAGGCACCTTTCACGCTTGGGTTTAAAGCAAAATGTTTTCTAACTTTGTCACAGCCATTAGTTTTTTCTTACCTGGGGGTCCTGGTGGTCCAGGAGGTCCTGCCATTGCCTGAGCCAACATTGAAGCTGTAAAGAAAGTTGAAATGTTACATTACTCTTTCATGCAATCCTTTTAGTTACAGCACATTTTATTTAACAAATCGGCCTAAATATGTGCAAACCAGGACTCAAAAATTTGGACTGGACCACTTTTCTCATTATGGGTATTTCCAAACCAATGGATTTACACTGACAGCCAATTAGCCAGATTTGAGACACTCATATAAACATTACAGGAACACAGTGGTTTGCCAACACACATGTTGCATGTTTGGCAAACCACATGTATTACGGCTCATGTCATCATTTATCAAAATCAAAGATGTTGCCAAGTCTGTTATTGCTAGAAGACAAATGGTGTCAATTCATATGAACAAAGGCTAGCAGGAGGTGTGAGAGTCACTTTAAGGGTCTGTTAGCATCTGTGACCCATCGTCAGAGTTAGGTAGTAAAACAAATTCGGATTGCTTTATGGGATATCCCAGAGGTTTTACATATCTTTGAATGACATGTTACAGTGACATATTATTGTTCATGACTGAAAGGTCTCAGTGATCCCGGTAAAGTAATGCTGGAACCCTATTGTTTCTATTGGTGTTATTCTTCCTATTGTTCCTAGGAATTGTTCCTATTGGTGTTATTATACAATCGTGTTGCAGTAGTGTTTGAACTGAATTACTGGAATCTAGGCTGACACCAAGGACGCTGGTCCCGGGCCCGTAAGAGGGGCAACGGAGCCCGGGAAGCACGGCGGCGGTGTCCGGCAGGGGGGGGGGGCGGCCCCTTCTTCGGGACACAGAAGCGATCTGGCCACAGGTAAGTCACCAGAATCCCTTCTGTTGTAGAGCCGACAGTCGGCTTTACAAGTTTAAACAGACTCCCGGCGGCAAAAGTCGCCGGGAGTCTGTTTAAACAGCCCCGATGCTGGCGACGTACACTGTACGTCGTCAGTCACGAAGGGGTTAAATGTATTATGCTGACCTCTCCCTACGAAAATGCTGGATACCTCTCTGTCCTGCTAATACTTTGGATTCTAGGATTTCCAAGTCACCCACCAACAAGCATAAAGATCAGGAGTTCTGATTTTTTTCCTGACTCATTTGCTACATTTTTACTGAGCTTTGACTTAGAGGTAATAAAGCTATACACAGCATTTTCAGAGGAAAGCCAGCCATATATTTTTCTCATGAAATAGATTCTTAGATTCTAGATTTAGATCTATTTAAATTGAACTCACATATGTTTCTTGCAGACAGCACATGAGAAATAAACTTTGGCATGAAAGAATATCCAAGTTTCCTAAAGGGAACCTTTCCCCCAAAAGCAAGAAAGATATGTGCATACGGCTCTGCCCTCTGAATTGAAAACACATTGCAGTCATATGTTCAATGAATAGTATTTTGTTAAAAATAAACTTGCCTCTTTTCTACTTCTTATTTTACGGAGGCACTGGTGACATAGCCAGCTCCTTACTGGGAGTTCTTGTCAAATCTGCACAAGATCTGGCACAGACATCATCGGTGGGTTGGCACAGTACACAAGGAAAAAGAAGCTGGCCACTGATTTCTTTGTTTTAAATGGCATGCAAGATTTGGTGCAAAGGGTGGATAGACCAGTGGGATTGTAGAAAACAAATAAAAAAGATGTGTGTAACTATAAGTAATCTGCTAGTTTCTCAATTGAGATTTCATTAGCATTGGCGCTCTATTAAATGAGGGGAAAGTCCACTTTAAAAAAGTAGCCAAACCTCCCAACCTTGTGTAAATGTCTATACTCATAGTTTGAATGTATGGCATCATTCCATGGTAGGTGTGATACATAACCAAAACTTACCATCTGCTCTGGTGACAGTGATACCAGGATCGCCAGGGTCACCACGGGCTCCTTTGGCACCTGATCAAATAAATAATTTATTAGTGGGTTTGCCCAAAGCACATTCTGCTTACCACCCCCCTTCCCCTTATTAAATAAAGCCCAGGCCTTGAAACTCTTGCACTAGGGCACAAACATACAAAATGTTTTTTTTCAATTATTGATTACCTGGTATTCCAGGAAGACCAGATGGACCAATTGGACCTGGCATAAGAAAAAAATAAATGTTGACTGAGCTGTAGCTTGACTTAACAGAAATGAACCATTTGCAAATAATAATTGTGTATCTCAATCTTTAATTGCACATTAAAAAATTACATATTTACAAAAAAACTGTAATCCACACAGCAAGAATTATTTATGTGTATGTCCCGGGATGGTAATGAAGGTCATTTCCTTGTTCAACCTAAAGCTAAACATACTGGTAAAGAAAATATTATTATGGGGGTTATTCACTAAATGGTGAAGAGTTTGGAGATGGCAGGAGAAGTGAACAATCTAGGACAACATAGCTGAACTGGAAAGTGAGCTGAATTGGAGACTTTTTCCAAATCAGCTATTTTGGCATAGATTGTTCACTTCTTCTGCCTTCTCCAAACCCTTCAACCCTTTTGTGAATAACCCCGTTACAGTTTTACTAATAAATAAATGGCCATATTAGGCGCTTATATACTAATGTTAGGTTCTTTATATGATAACAAATTGGCTTGGTAGAATGTCTTTTTTTTTTTTACAGAAAGATGTTATTAGAACATTGTCATTGGAAGTTCTTGTTGTACAGCCTGTAGAGAGATTTACTAGAGCCAAATAGGCTGCTTACTTTGCAAGGGATTTTTCCCTTAGCTTAGGTAATGTGGTGAAAATTTACTTTAAAAAGAATACCCAGTCATGTGCAAGGAAAAGAAAAAAAAACAGTATTTTTGCTTGCACATAATTGGATAACAGAAGTCAGCAGAGCTTTACCTCATTCACTGAGCTAAGGGAACATTTTGTTGCAAAGTGAACAGCCTTTTTCTCTTTAGTAAATCAACCCCGCAGTCTTCTAACATTCTACAGTGGTCTTGTTTAAGCTGATAAGTTGTTGTGTTCTAAAATAATAGAAATTAATGTTTCTTATAATTGTCGATGTGTTGCTTGTGCAAATTCTTTGTAAGTTAACAAGCAAGATGTTTAAAGGAGGTCCTTTGGGGCAACTGCCCATGGCTGGAGCTTAAAGCCTCCATTTCCCCAAACGCAGGAGTTCTTGAAACACTGGTATATGAACATACCTGGGACACCGGGAGATCCTGGTTGGCCAATAGGTCCTGCTGGTCCTGGTGGTCCAGGCATTGGATATGATCCAGAATCTGAAAGAAAAACAAATAATGTTTGTACTACAACCTGATAGAACGTGTGTTATTACTTTGTTGTCCTCACTGGAGTGATATGATTGATTTATGATAATGATGATGATCAATTTGATTGATTTAGTGAGCTCTTGATTGATTTTGTGTATCGGAGAACTAATCACAATACAGATCGATTAAACAATCCTTTTTCATAGATCTTTTACATTTATGGTTACTGTAGAAACAGATAGTTTCATTCATCTTGGGTATTACACACATCCCTCTTCTTCAGGCACTGTGACTGACAGTACCATCTTTCCTACAGTGCAGGGATCATGTTGCTTATGCTCCTCTAGTTCTGCCCTTATCCAACCACAAAATGCTTAGTTTTCTGTTCTCAGAATACAAGGCGTTCTGTGAATGGACAAGGGGAGATACTGCCTGTTTACCCACTCCTTCTCTGCACTTGTCCATTCACAGAACACCTTCTATTCTGTAAGCAGAATTCTAGGTGTTTTAAGAATGGACGAGGGGAAAGAAAGGGGAGCATAAACAACATAATCCCTTTACTGTAAGAGAGCCAGAATTGACAGTACCATCATACCTACAGTGCAGGGATCATGTTGTTTATGCTCCTGTAGCTCTGCTCTCATCCAACCACAAAACGCCTAGTATTCTGTTCTCAGAATACAAGGCATTCTGTGAATAGACAAGGGGAGATACTATCGTTTACCCACCCCTCCTCTGTACTTGTCCATTAACGGAACACCTTCTATTCTGTAACAGAATTCGAGGCGTTTTAAGAATGGACAAGGGGAGAGAAAGGGGAGCGTCAACAACACAATCCTTTCACTGTACGAGAGCCAGAACTCTCAGTTGCAGCACCGGAAGAACAGAGCCACACGTATGGCTGCTATTATGCCCTATAACTATATCATACCAGTGGAACCTCTGATCAACAGCCAACACAATAATATACGCTATCAATGGAAACAATTTGTATATGCAGTAGACTGCATCAAAGAAATCATTGCAGCTGTTGAGAACAATTAGATATGAGGATGTACCTGAAGAAACTCTTCCAGGATCTCCGGGGTCACCTATATGACAAATCATCAGAAATATATAGTTAATTCTATAAGTATATTATTCTTTTCTGGAGCAGAATTAAATACAAATGAATGTCAAATTTCTGATCCTTCAAATATTACTACTTTTTATTTACCTTTGGCTCCAGCTCGCCCAGGTGTTCCAGGTGGTCCTATACAAAACAGTTGAGATTTGCATTAAATAGTTACCATTAGGTTTTTGTTAAAATCCCTAAGAAGATATTTTGTAATAATCATTGCATAGTGGTGGAAAATAATTAAATTTTAGAAGTACAAGTCTACCCAGTTTTATATACAGGTAAAATGGCGCTGCCCTTCTAGTCCTACTGTATTTAAAGTCTAAAAATCAAGCCCACTGATCTTTTTTTTTTTCCTCTCCATGACCATAAAAGTCTGTAGCCTTTGAGATTTTTATACAGTACTTATCTGTGTACAGATAACTATATAATGCACATAGAGTTAAGTTGCTGATAGAGCACTTAAGAAGCTCACTCTGCTCTCTCATCACCCAGCTCACTCTGCTCTCTCCTCCCTTTCACCTGTTTCGTGTCCTGTAGATTGCAGCAGATCTTGATTGGCTTCTAGTGCTGTCCCTCCCTATCTCAGTCCTGCTGCACAAGAAATCAGCAGGAGGCTGACATTCAAAAACTTACACTATTTTCATTTAAAATACATGTATTATTTCAATGAATACTTCTGCTTTAATTGATAAAGAGCAAGGTATGTGCAAAAATGCTGCCCTGTGTATTAAATACTCAATGGAGGTTTGCTGCAACTACCTGCCTGAATATAACACTTTTTAAAAGACTGCACTGTTGTGTTACATTTCATCAGTGTGGCATTTTGGAATCGTAGTAGAAAAACTTTCTCTTACCAGAAGGATACTATCACACAATTGTTTGATGGACACTAGACATCTTTTTCAGCCCAATGCTCTCTGACTACTGTCTGAGAGCTTGGTTTGAATTAGTATTGTTAAATATGTGATAAATGCTGAGCTTAGAATGGTTACCTGGTGGCCCTTGTGCTCCGGAAAGTCCTAAAAATAAAGCAAAAACAAAACAATAGAATATATTAGTTTATGTAACTACATTGTAATGTAAACGCTGTGCCAGGAAAACCAGCTTTCTAAAAGGATCTGCTTTCCTGTTGTGAATAATTAAAGCAACACCTGAACAGAAAGGATTATGTGGAAATAGGTATCATGTGTTTCGAGATTCTTTGCACAAAATGAATTATGTATGGGTTAAACTTTCTGTGACATTTTACATTAGGTGCACCCAATCCTCTGCCCCCAAGAGAAGAGAACAAGATGATATCCATTATCTGTGCTATACATGAGAATGATATTATTACAACAAGTGGTTGGTTTAATGGACAAACATTTGCGTAGCTGACCTGTGTTGTTTAGTGTTCTTACTAAACTGACTTATGAAGGGTTGTACAAGAACAAATATAAAAGCACTTTCAGTACATAGCTAAGGGTTAGTATTGTGGCCTGTATTGTGTTTTACTCAACACCACTGCTAATATTGGAAACATATGATTGAATTTCCAAAGCACCTAAAGATTTCTGGTACCAAAGAAGAGATTTGCCTTAGAAACACCGTAAATTCTTTCATTGCTCAAGTTAGAGCTGATATTTCCTTCTTGTTAGTCATTGGGCATGTTTCCTTCTGGCTCTAATGGCAATGACAGGTCATTATTTGAGCAGGTGAAAGAAGAGTGAGACTAGAGATTATGGTGTAACTAAGGAAATGAATGACACAAAGGTCAGCCAATGTAAAGAAAAGAGGAATATTCTACTCTCAGTTTCCATACTATATCAGCACACTGTATTCTTTCCTCCTACTGATGCAAAACCAATATGTAGCAAACAATGAGAGAAAGGTTTCTGTTTCTTTTAAGGTGGCCCTTGCTTTGCCTACAGACACACAAGGTAAAACGTCAAAGTGGTCTGTAAGTACCAACGCATCTGATTTAACACCACCAATATGGATCATGTTGGGAGCTGCACTGTATATCTTATTTCAGGTGAAAAGAAAAGCCTCTTACCTGGAAGTCCGGGGTCTCCTGATGATCCTGGTGGTCCTCTTGGTCCAGGCAATCCAATAGGTCCTTGTTCACCTGAACATCAAGAACATTATTTATTATTACAGAGGAAAGTCATCTTTTTTTTAGTGTAATGGCCTAAAGAAGCTATGATATTTATGCATGCTATCCTGAAGGGGTATAAACATGAATGCTCATCTAATGCAATTGTTTATGCTTAGTTCACAAATGTTTTATAGAACATTTGTCTATGGATATTTTTAGTCACTCTCCAAACCACCACAATGTATGTATTCTTGTGTGCCGTATTTGGGTGACTTTGGGGTTTGGAATTAGAAATCTAATATTTTCATATGTTTCAAGGTGTAGACCTTTGAAGCATAAACAAATGTATCCTTTTAATTTTTGCGGGTATATTAAATATTTTTGTTTACATAACAAGAGGTGCCTGAGGTGCAGTAAAGTAAAGGGATAAATGAAATGCAGTTACCAATTGTGAAAATGCTTAAAAGAAATGCCAGACATTACCTCTTGGACCTTGATGTCCATCTGGTCCAGGTGGACCTAAAAAGAAACATATGCATAGTTTTTAAATATAAATTTCTCGGTTTTAATTGTTCAGGTTTTTGGAAGATTTACTTTCAAATGGACCTTATAAATAGCAGAACAATTTTGGAAGGATCTGATCTCTTCGCAGCATATAATGATAATGATAAGATCTTACCTGCTGATCCTTTAGCTCCTGTTTCTCCTGAGGGTCCTGGTAATCCTCTGGGCCCTGGATCTCCTATGAATAAAGATAACAAAAATGAGGAATATAAAGTCCTGCAAAGAACCAGCATAGGCAGGACAGACTTTGGAAAACATTAGGCCTTTATGGGATATGTCATTCTATTTCTAACCTCCATTAATTAAATAGAGTTTTTATCTTTTAATATTCATGAAGGTCACTTGGTCCATTTAGAGATGTACGAAATACAATTTACTCAGTTAAGGTTTCACTTTTTGGAATAATATTAGTATAATATTGCTTTGTATGTGACACATCACATTGCTTTTTTTACTGACCTGGAAGTCCTCTGGTTCCCTTGTCTCCTTGGTCACCTAAAACAAATGCAACATAAAATATTTGTATTCTATCAAATAAAAACATTATCTTTATTGTGTTGTACAGAACAGTAGACAAAGGCAAGTCACAGACAATGTGTTTTGCTTACCTTTAACTCCAGCTGGTCCAGAAAGTCCTTTGTCACCTGGATGGGAAAATAAACATACATATTTAAATTATTACAAATGTTTACCAAAACATATACTGAGTACATTTCCATATACAAAAGCATTTGAGGCAGAGAAGAAAGCTCAGGACGCTACTTTGCAGAAAAAATGATTTAGCAGAAGTGGAATGCATCAACTATTGTTGAGTTGCTTCATTTCCACTGAAGCTGAGTGCCTGGTTCACTGGGTTTGACATTCAAGGTTTCCCGCTCCCAACCAGATCTTACAAGCACTATTACTGGTTCCTCCACTAATGGGTCCAAGATCATGCTTGGACCAGTAGCCATAATAATGTCCTAGCTTTCAATATGGTCTTACCTTTAGGTCCTGGTATTCCGGAATCACCTTTGTAACCTTGCTGACCTGGAGTGCCTGTTAAAAATTGGAATTACATTTTTATACCATAGAATTGAATAGCTTATTTTTGGATCTAGAACACCTCTGGTCCTTCAGATATTGAGAAATGGTGAGAAAAGGTAAAAAATTACAAATCTCAGCACATCCTGGCTGTTAGCAGCTTTCGGCAGTGCCGGGACTTGCAATTCTTCCACACTGTGGGGTTCACAGGTAGCGCATGTTCTCAATGAAAATATAATCATGCATGAAAGCTTAAATTGGGCAAGGAACCTTCACCAACTGCCTTATCACATATCATATCTATCATTATATTTTTCCTCTACTTATCCGCCTGTGACAACATACCTGGAAGACCTTGAGAACCTTGAGGACCTTGCAAACCTGTAGATAGAAAGGGAAATATTAGACGATATCTATGTACTATTGGGCCTTGAACCACATTTTCTTTAAAGTACTTTTTGCCAGTCTCTATTTGCTCCAAATAATAACTCTGCTTTATTCTGAGCTTAATCCACCATACACATTTGTCAATGGTAAATTAACATTCTGTCCTAGAGTGGCAATACTCACTCCCTCCATTGTATCTCCATTGTATCTCACTTATCTCTATTACATAGGGAGGAGGAAATTTGTAATTTGCAGTAGTAAGCTGGCAACACCGATAACATTGTTTAAGATATCATTTAAATGCACAGGAAGTTACAACGACCCTGAATCCTGGCAGGGTCAACAGGCCTTTTTCTGTACTTGCAGAAAATTTACTTAGCCTGACAAATTTACTAATGCAGCTACCACATCAAATGACTGATATGCTAAAATATATACAAATGTTGCTCTTGGCTTTAGATAATCTTTAATTTTAACAAGGGGAATGGGTCCAAATGTGTGACATAGATAAAATATTCTTTGTTTCATTTTAAACTCTGAAGGTCTACTCAGATCTTTCATATTGATTCACTGCTTTTACAGAAAAAAAGCCATTGAAAAGTGTCAGCAGACCCCTCTCTTTTATGTTGTAATATCTTTCACAGTCAGAGCCATAATAACATTCAGCTGATGTCGCCTGTATATAGCGAGTTGCACGGATTGTGCCAATTACCAATGCAAGATGAGGGATTCCTAAGAAAATGAGGGTGCTAATACGGCAAGCATGCCAGTTACAAATACATAGGGACATTTAATAATTATTTAGCCTATCAGCCTAAATATAATTTTAGGATTTTGCTGTTAAATTAGTGCAGAGATTACAAAACTTGCTTACCTTTCAATCCCATTTGTCCTGGAATGCCAGCTAAGCCTGGCACACCTGGTTCACCTGGCACACCTGCAGAAGATAAATTAGGTATGAGAAAAAAATGATAATACTTTATCAGAAACAATAGTCATTGCCTATATATGAGAAAGAATAAAGATACAGCCAAAATAAGAGCAACCACATGCATACTTCAATGTAGCAGAACAAATAGCATATGCCAAGCTTAGTGACTGAGAGTCGGGGAGGGGCATACTCCTTAGTCACCCCCTTTAGTGAAAAACTGGCTCCTTAATCAATATAGCCCAATCCTTGCAGAAAGCTGAATCAAATTCATACATTCAATTCATATGTGAGTGAAGTAATATATGTGTTTAAAAACTCCCCCATTCAACCATATTAAGCCACTAAAAATTAGAAAGCATTTACCTCTGTCACCCTTTTCTCCTATGCCTGGTGGACCAGGGTCACCACGAGTTCCAGGTAAGCCATCCCTTCCTCTTTGCCCAGGTGGACCTTCCACACCAGAATCACCTACAAATGGTAGAATATTGATGACTCCTATCCCACAAACCTAGACACGAGCATGAATCCATCCCGACAAATACTGTATATTTGTACACTGATTTAGTCCGATTTCTTACCCGCACTGCCTTTCTGTCCTTTAGGTCCCTCTGAGCCAGGATGACCAATGAGACCCGGAGTTCCTGTTACAAAGATTATAAGATGAGTCTCACCAACAACACCATGCAACACTAAATATACGTTGATGAAAAAAGTATCAGAGTAAAGGGACGTTTGGAACTGACTGAGAGGTGGCAATTTAAGATATAGAGGAGTGGTCATTTGGAATTCTCTCAAACATTTCATGAAATTACAACTCTAATTTTTTGATAAAATTCATAAAGAAAAATAAACATTTGACTAGTTGCTAAGGGCAACACCCACATATTTAAATTTAGCACCTATGGGATCGAGGGGATTTTTTAGTTATGGTTTCAATAATAATGAGGACCAAAACTTGCCTTTCATCCATACTGACCAATACAATTTGACATTATTTCCACCTATACATCACTAATGCCACTTGTTACACGTATAACTTTGTTAATTCAATTCATTTCAGGCTGTTTGATTCTCTACACCAGCGGTGGACAAATCAATATGGAATTCAGGAGCCAGTGTGTCCAATCCAGGAGCCAACAGAATTTTTTTAGGAGGCAGCTCCATTGACAATAATTGGAGAAAGTTGGGCTCCAGCTGTAATTTTTAAGGAGCATTGGCGACCTGGCTCCAGGCTTCAGGGATTTGTCCAGCCCTGCTCTAAACAGTCATTATTTTAGGATTTTGTAATTATGTGTTTTAAAATATTTCTTCAATGATTAATTATTATAGAAGATTTTTAAGGCTTAAACTCTTTCCTACCTTGTGAACCTGGGAATCCTCTGTCACCTGTTATAAAAAAATGATAACAAATATATCAATTCTTCCCACTTAATGATTAAATAATGATTATTACAGTTTTATACTGGAACATCAAATATGTTCTGGATACCACACAGGCAACACTATTACTGCAGATGTATAACTTAAAAGAGGTTTTTGCATTGAATAGGGTATCTAACAGTGGAACCTTTGTCAGGTTTTCATTGCTGTCTATGTGTCTGTTCGGGCGAATCATCATCTCTATTTGTCTTGGTCACCAAGCCTGAAAATGAGGAAAAATCTAAGATTTGGAGCTGTCACTAGGTTCAGGGCGAGTTCTTCCATGGGCAAACTTCTTCTCATGACAACTGTCTAAAAGGAGATTTCCTATACTTTCAGGGGCTTTAACCATCTCCTACATTGTCTAAAACCAAATAAAACCTTATTACTTTAGATATACTTTAAATAGTGATGTCATCTCCCTTATCAACATTCAGAACCTTGTGGCAAATACAGTCAGAGAAATGGCTTAATACTCTTTTGATATGTCTGAATGATTGTGTAATCTTACAATCAAATGAAAGAACATAATATTTCTAAAGTAAAGAGTTGTAACTTGTCCTGGACCAATAAGCTATGCTATATTTGCTACCCAACTTCTCCTGGGTGGTAAATAATGCTGATTGCTGAACAAGCAGTGCTGCTAATGCACCGTGCAGCCAACGTTTTGATCAACTAGGCTAATCAAAAATGTTTCTATTAGCCCAAGTGTGGATTACTGTATAGACTGGTAATATTTCCAGAGATTCTACTGGATCCCCCCTGTTCCTAGAGGCCCTTATTCCCGGAAGTACCAGGTGAGACTTGTGCAAAGCAAAAGATGGAAACTGCTGTGACCTGTTTCTGCAGAAACATTTAGTACATAACACACAACATAGTTCTCTTAAATGACTATGGAGTGCTAGGCTGTTGCCATATGTGGCATTGCTCACCATGAAGATGAAAATTAATGGTCTGTCTATATACTGTGTAGCATGATCACCGAAAGCCAAGGGTCTGCCTCCAAATACTTAGAACAGCATTGACTTGAAGATTCTAGTGTGTCCTTGTTCTGCCCTCTTATGACTTAAACATCTACAAACCCCCAAATCCTACCTCATACAAGCACTCATTTCATTGGCTTTTTATGTTTTCTATGAATGCCATAGCTATGTCTCATTTTTCTACATAGGGCATAAAGGCAGGCATGCAAAGGGTTACTTACCTTTTTCTCCTTGTGTTCCGGAATCACCTGCAGATGAAATAGTTACAGGCATATAAGAAAAAAAATTACTACAAAACAACTTTTTTCAAATATATGTCTTTTGTACTATTAGGTAGTAGTCTCTTTGAGCAGACTCATAAATGTTTGTTTCATGTTATTCTTTTTTGTTATTGTTCTCTTTGTATGTTTACTGTATACACTAATGTAAAGCTCCACTCAGAATAGGTCTAACCTTTAAATATATAACAAAACAAATGTTGTTGTTATTATTATTATTATTATTATCATTGTTCTTGTTATAATGTTCCAAATTATAATTTTACTATTAAGGCAATGTCCACCATTCAAGAACATAATTGCTACTCTAGCACCTTCTAGTGATTAAAACTGATATAAAACAAAATCCATCTATATTATTGTTTAGGTTGAAAAGAGATAATTACCTTTTGGTCCAGGCTCGCCCTTCAAACCGGCAATGTTTCCTGTAGCTATAGGGAAATTTTGAAATTAGTGAAACATTTCAAAAGAGATCATTCTGTAATCAAACCATATGTTTATAAATGTATCAAGTGCAGTAGTCTATATAATCTATGCTTTGATTTAAAGAATTTGAATGTGAAACACATAATTGTGGTCAACATTGGTATTGTAGTGCATGGGCCTCACTAGCAGCAGGCATCCAAGAAACATGCCTTATCTCTTGCTTGGTGCCCTGGGTCCCCGACTGCCCCTGTGCTCTGTGTGTTACACACTTCCTTATCCCCTGCACCCTCCTGACCTCTGTGCTCTTTGCATTGCTTCTGAACCCTGTACATTATATACTCCTGATCTCTGCACTCTATACAGCATATTATACATTACATACTCCTGACCTGAAGTGTGCATTGTCTCAACAGTTGCTGGTTGCTAAGTAGCCACTGGCTATTTTATTGAAGTGCTTCTTAAAGGTAGGCTGTGTGCAGAAAAGCATATGTAATAAAGGGCTTTTTTTTAAAATGATTATGATGTTACTGAGGTTTATGTATGTCTACTACTCTTTAGCTTGTGGCTCAGTAATCAAAGATTATTTTGTAGGAAAACGACTGCGACATATGTGTGCAGGGCTTACAGGCAGTAGGTTCAGGTTTTATTAAACCATGCCCCTCTAAGCTCCTCCTCCTGTGTGCTATGTGAGCCTCCTGATTCCTCTTCTCTGGGTGCCCAAGGGTGGCAACACCTCTGTCATAGTGTTTTTTTTATTCTTAGCTTCTTCTTGGCGGAATATGCCTATGTTCGCCTTTTCACACCATTGGGGAAAAACCTTGGAGGACAGTGGTGGCAGGGGTGATAGTCAGCACTTGCCACTGAAGCTTGCTTTTTTATTGCAGTGAAATGTTCAGCCAAAAACACTAATAACATTAATAAACAAATACCTCTTTCTGACATCATCCTCTCCCTCACGTAGGCCCAGACTTCATCTCTGGAAAGACCTGTAATTGTGCCACCAACAGGAATTGAACTGGCTAGGTTGACATCCGAGCGCAGTACAGGACCAGCTTCCAAACGTCCCAATGAACTGCCAGAGCCTTCTAAATTGTCTACACGTTGCTTCAGATTCTTCAGGTCTTGCCCTAAGTTGTAAGAATTTATAGATTTTTCATTCATATTTGCACTGGTTATTTCAATAAGCATTAAATCAGATCTCTAGACAATGCCAGCCAAAATAATCCAATTTGGGAGTGGGGTGGTTAGGATATGTGCTGAGAATTACAGCAATGCTATCTAGACAGGATACCAGGTAGAATGGGTTATGACCTACATATAAAAGTATATCTAGAGCCCAAAATGTATTTCATTTTGGATAGGGTAGGTAGTGACTTTCCCCTACATTTTACCTCATGTAAAATGTAGGGGAAAGAAGACTAGGGCAGGAGTATCTTCCGACCATGACTGTGGGTAAGTACTAAGGGCATTTAGATCAGTTAAAGGAGGGTGGGAAGTGGGTTATTATTAGGGATGCACTGATACCAAAACTGGTATTGGTATCGCTGGCGATACTGAGCATTTGGGCGAGTACCCATACTGGACCAAGTGCTCCGATACTTATCCCGATGCCGGAACTTCTGGTCAGAGGGAGACTCCCTCTGACCGGCAGTGCTGCGGGAGAGCATGGAGGAGCTTCCTGTCCAATCGGGAAGCCGGGAGGTCGGGTCATGACCTGCTGCCAGCTTCCTGATAGGCTAGGTGCACACTGGCTTCACACTGCTTAGTGAAACTGCGAGGTAGCCTGGCTTCCTGGCCAATCAGGAAGCCGAGAGGTGGGTCATGATGTGCTGCCCGGCTTCCTGATTGATCAGTAAGCCAGGCTGCTTTGCAGTGTCAGGAGGGAGCGTGAAGCCAGTGTGCACTCGATAGAACACCGGCTTCCTGATTAGCCAGGCCCACACTACGTCGGGATGCTGGTATTGATATTCGGTATTGGCAAGTACCGGAAAAAAATATCGGTACTCATACTTGATGCATAACTACCGTAGTTATTATTTACCCGGAGGTGGGCTTTAGGGGAGAATGTATTTGGTGGCAACTGTTTAAGAGGGATTTTTTCCTTCCCGTTGGATAGATTTTCTCTTACTTCCCGTTGGGTCTGTGGGACAGGAAGTTAAATAAAAATCTCCCTAACGGGACATACACCCATACACTTTCACCATGAGAAGGTGCAGTAAATCAAAGCCACTGTGTAAAACTGTAAAGCAGGTAACAAGGCAAGGAGCAAATATGGCTGCCCCTATGAACATACCAAACTAAATTGTAAATTATCCATAGTAACACGGTTTAACACACACTTATAGGCTTATTTACATCAAGCTAATCTCTTTTCAGTGTATCTCTGAAAAAAAAGCTTTAAAAAACAAAAACAAATCTTCCTTTTTAAAAGTTTGCTTTGTTCAGTGTTTGTGAAATCAATTTTGATTGTGAAATGTACATCCTGCCGATGTTGTGGTATCATAGTATAAAGAGATGATTACTTACATAGAGATATGAGTCCAAAGAGCAGTCCCAAAAGGAATAGTAGGCCAAGAATTAACCCAAGTGCCCACATCCACCATTTGCAGCAGGAAGCACATGGTCCACAGGCTCCATCCATTCCACCATCCTGCCTTTCAGCATACTGATCGTTGGCGGACTTCAAACCATCTACTCGATGTATCTCTGTGGCGAGTAACAAGCAACAGTTAACCATTCATGGGTGAGAGGAGTTTCAGAACCTTATATTTCTCAGTGGTAGACTTTACAAGGTGGTAGTATTTGTATTATGTGTACATGTGAAATTAACACTTTATGTGAGCTGCTTGTTTGTACATCCTTTAATAATTTGACAGGTATTAAATGTGTATATAATGTTGTGTGTTTGTGTGGAGCACAGCTGCAGTAAACAAAATATGTATAAAGCAGGTGAGTCGAAATGGAGATGACATGTGTTTGTAACAACTGGGTGGACCAGGGGAGAGGTGTAGTCATATAGGCAGTATGAAAGGGTATGATCTACACAGAATGTGGGAGTGACCATAGATCTTTTTAACTTTAATAATACTAAAAGAATTATGTTTATGACAAATGTGTTATTTCTTCCCTTTCTGTTTAAGACTTTCTTTAAATTATCAACTGAGGATATGAAAAATATGCAGTTTTGGAAATAAATGATTGCTGTACATTTGTATCATTTATGGGGAAATAGACAAAGCAATAAAAGGAATGAAGGAAGATTTCTTACCTGCATATGTAGCTTTGTCTTTGGTTACCTTTAAGCCTCCTAAGATACAACAGCATATGTGTTAAACTATCATATTGTCTTTCCAATTGAAATAGAAGAGTTAAAATGCATTATTTACCATTAGCCTCTGTTCTGTATGAGGTGTCCATACTAGTTGTTACAGTTCTTTCTTTTTTTAGAGCATCTTCACCATATGAACCTGGGAAATATCCAAACAATGTGATGATTTGTAAGTCTTTCCATCTATTACCATAGTGTGCAAATAAAAATAACTGAAGTATCAAACACAAGTGACTGAGAAAGGGGGTTATATGCCTAAGAATTGTAGTACTACTGTTTGCTGAAAACTAATTGTAAAAAGACCTATTATGCAACCTAGCACTATAGTTTTAAGGTCCTGTCTAAACTCTGGTATTAAATTGGGGTACCAGGTACACACCTTGAAAAATGCTACAGTATCATGGGAGTTCTTAAAGTTTGGAGTTATCATGAAAGCAATAGGTGAGTGGAAATCTTCCCATGGTGATTTCCCTTCACTGTTGTATCTTCAAGACAGGATGTTACATAGTTACATAGTATTGAGGTTGAATAAAGACACAGGTCCATCAAGTTCAACCTTTGTGTGTCTGTATGTGATTGTGCATGTGTGTGTGTGTGTACACGGGTCCCTGTGTGGTGTAGTTTTTAAGAGTACCTGTACCCCTGTATGTTATGGTCTCTGAGGAGGGTATCTAAGGTATCTATCCGAGGATGTGAAATAGAAATCTCCCTAGCAGGACAAAGACAGCAAAAAAATAAAAATAAAAACCTGCCAACTTACCTACTCTATCCCCCCCAAAAAAGGTTTATGCTATACATACACTTTAATGAATGGTGCCATTCACAAGCATACATTGCATTGTGCAATGCCATGTGCAACGTAATTATCTTTTACGTACACAGAAGTGAGGATGTGCATTTTTGGCCAGTTTTTTGGTAAGTAAATTGATGGAAACACATGTCAGCTATTGAAATAAACTGATGTTGACTGATCTAATTGCATGCAAAAGCATATAGACTGAAATAGGTGAAAAAATAAGGTCACAAACATCTTTTTGATAAGGATTTCAAAACAATGTATTTTGTGAAGTTTATACTTTTGTGTCCTTATAGCCAAGACTTCAGCATCTTGGACACTGTGTAGCATTATGGAATTTTAGGATTTGTTTGTTTAGGTGGATGAACATATAAAACACTCTTTTCAGACAAAGAAGGTTTGCAAACAGCTTGATTTTATATAACCAGGAGGGTAACAAGCTTCTTGACCACAGTAGTTAGGCACAGAATAAGCATATACAACTTATCACATTCTCTGGCACAGACTGATGTAATGAAAATGTTCACTCTGGCAATGATTGGGTCTATCTGGTTCATTTCTCCCTCCTTTAATGTAACAATCCCAATCATATTCAGCTTTCATCAGTTTAAAGCAATGAAAGATTAATTCTGATTTAATGATAGGGATCACTGCACTATATACTGTACTTTTTACTATATGATCAATAAGATTATGTTAATTACCTGAACTGGCCATACTAGCAGCTGTAAAGACCTTTCCGCTGTCTTTGGACATTATCAGCATGTCTCCATCCTTCTTAGCGGGTGCTTTTTCCTTCTCCAGCAAAAGGAACTTGTAATCTTTGCTGAGGATTTCTTCACCTTGAATTTTACTGCTAGTTACTGAAAAAGTATGGAGAGAAAAAGGTAAATATTGGGGTGCATGTGTAGAATAAAAACAAATAAGATGCTGCAAATATGTAGATGGGGTAATGTGGACACTGGCTTTGTCATTTCTTTTTAACTATCACGGTTTTGGGTACTTTGAAGGTATCATATTAAATCCGACCTTATGCATTACCAACCTAATCTTAATTTTTTTATCAACCTCCGGTACTATTAATTTCCACCATAAAAAAATCCCAAGTATGATGTGAAAACTATTGTTTCACTGCTCTATTGGAGGAAGCATGGTGTCAATTTTATATTTACATATAACAACGTTGTAACTGGACAGACTAACAAACAAGATAAAGGAGAGATGGTTTTGTGTTTTGTTGAACTACAGTAAGCTTTTTGACTCCTCTCAGCAGCCCCTGCAATCCCTCCCCTTAAAATGTATCTGCTGAATTTAGCCACAAATGACACTAGGCACTGGCCAATAAGTACCATTATGGTAACTACAGTCCTAAATAGTAGACTAACTGCATTGAGACACACAGGACTAGAGTTGGCTGTAAACATGATAGTGTTAATACAAACCTTTATTGTTAAAAGAACCAAGTACAGTACAAATCTATCCATACATCCTTGTTGCCTATTTTAGGTTTATTACTGCATTACAGGTGTGCTTTATTGTATGCCTTGAGTATCAGAAAAGTTCTGTGAAGAGTCTTCAATTCACCATCAAATCAGAGAAACTCACCAGCTGATGAGGTGACAGTGCTGCTGACTCCACCTGAGCCTTGTGTGTTTTGTGTGACATTCTTCTGCACTCCATATCCTGAAAAAGTCACCCACATGAATATGGTTATGGTCCAACCAATCACTGTGCACAAAACTGAGTGAAAAGCAGTGAGCACAAACCTGAGGTGTTTGCAGATGTCATTGCGCTGTTGACCATGGGAGCTGCAGCTAATGCCACTCCTTGAGCATGTAATGGGGCCAAATTATTTTGAACACCGAATACTGTGGAGGAAAACAGAAACATAACAAGTTATGCAATAAGATGTATTGATTTCATAGCGTGTATCCATAGAATAGAAAGTACCCGTAGTGCTAGTATTTCAGGGTTAGTCCAGCCATTGCTAACATTTTGTTTATAAATTGAATAGAGAGGATGGTAGTGGCATCTTACCAGATCCTAACTGTGCTCCCTTCACTGTATGGCAACAAGAGGAATCTCAGCCCTCTCTCTATAATATCAGCAATGCAATACTAATGACACTCCAGCAGGTAATGTAAGATCACCTAGTAATGGGCATGGCAGGTGGAGCTGGAAATTAGACATGTGTGATTTGTTTCGTTCCGAATCAAAATTCAGACAAGATTTTGGAAATTCGTAGATTCGGAGCATCCGAATTTCCGAAATATAACATATCCGAAATCATCCGAAATCATCCGAAAGCATCCGAATCCGAAATTTCGGATTTGGAATGAATTTCGTCCAAATCCTGTGCATGCACTATTAACATTTAAAAGGATAAAAACAAATTAAGCAAAGTATTTTAATGTCCCTTTAATAGTAAAAACTAGAGCATAGCAACCAGAAATGACAAATGTGCCAATTCTGCTACCCCACCTCAAGTTAAATTTTCAGGAATTCTGAATCTGAATCCCGAATCAGATCCGAATATGAATCCGATTCCCGAAACGAAACACATATAGGATCCGAATTCCAAAAACGAAATAAAAGAAATCCAAAATAAAATGAATTTTTAGCCGCTGCACATGTCTACTGGAAATTTAAGTGCCAAGACCTCCCCATCACAGTCCCAAAGAAGTACATGAAGGTGAGGGTAATTAATTCATGGTCAACTGAAACAAGCTGGAAAGGCAAATCTTGACTTTCTCTGTAAAACTCAAGCTTGGACCTGTCCCCGCTCCTGAGACCCCTATTTATCAGTGAAGCCCCCTATCACACCATAGAATTAATAAAGAGGCAACGGAGGTGTGACATTGTGGGGGAAAACTCAATTTATGCACCAAACATTGAGATTTGCACATGAGAGAGCTATTCTGTAAAAGAAAGTGCAGTAAGAAAAATATATTACATGTAGGGTTGCACAGATACCAAGTACAGTACTCGGTACAAGTACGAGTACATGTACCGATACTTTTGAGCTCCAAGACTAGACTAGAGAAAAATTCAAAAATTAGGAGGCAGCTGTCATTTGTTAGGAGCTCACGGAGCTCCCGGGATTTGTACATCTCTGTTTAAATGTACGATTTTGTTTTTATAAATATAAATAAAGGGATGCACAGATACCAGTTTTGCGAGTACGAGTACTGGTACTCGCCGAGTACTTACAAGTACGAGTACTGATACATTTTTGTTTATTGTCATGTGACAGGTTTTCTAAAACAATACAGACTAAGGATTTCAGGACAGTGGTGGAGCGCCAGAGCCAGGTCCCAGCTGCGACCGCTGCAACCTTCGTATTTCTCATGAAAATGCCAAGTATCTGCACTGGTACTCGAAAAGTATCTGTGCATCCCTAATTACATGAGAATGGGAGAAAAGAATTATGTTGTTGGGGTTTCATATAAAAATAAGCAACAAAAACTAAACTAAGAAAAAGTAAAGAAATAATGAGAAGTAGCTGGGAGGGCATTTGTTAACTGAAAGAAACTAGAATTCCAGTTGAATTTTTTTAAGGTCAAAATCTACAACTCTAACTACTACTCTAACTCCACCTAAAGTGAAACAGACTCCAGTAAATTATGATAGTTACCTGCAGAGGAGGACGAAAGTCCTGAATGTAAGGTAGGAGAGCTGGGGGCCAGATTGTTGGGCATTCCAAATACTAAAAAAAAAATCATAAAGCGACAATTGTAAAAAAAAAACAGAAGCCATAGACATAGATTTATCAGCTCTTTATAGATTGTGAAGCCATTTTTTCTTTCATAAGTTTACCTGATCCTGAGGACTGGGCATTCATCATAGAAGACCCATAGCCCATGCCACCCATGTTGTTGTGGTAGCCACCCATAGATGACCCTGCAGGAAGCGTGGAGGTCCACATATATGATGGGAGTGCTGAATCTAAGATGGTGGTGTCATATGACCCTGAACCTGTATGAAGGAACCACTGATTAGAATCAGTACCTGTCATAATGGTGAAAGGCATACACAGTGCTGTCAGAGACGCTCACCTGACTGAGAGCTCTCTGTCACCATCTTCGTCTCCACAATTGCTTTCTTAGGGATGGGAAGGGTGTTGGTTGGGGATCTGCTGGGGCTGACGCTGGTCGAACGACCTCCCTTCAGCAGTTTCTTCACATCATCAAGTTCTGTCCCTGAAGGAAGGTGAAATATTCACAGGTCAGTTTAACCACCTACAACAATGTTGACTATTCCATATCTGCAGAGTGGGACCGATGGCTTACAAAGCTGAACAAATATAAAACTGCAAATGTACAGTTATCCATAGAATACATTTTTGGTGGGTTGCTCTGGGTCACTGCACTCTGCAAATAATCACTGCACTTTGTATTGCCTCATAACAACTAAATGTAGTGTTTTTTTAGGTATAGATCGATCTTCCCCATATTTGTGTGACACGTCTGTGTTAAGTAGTAGCACACTGTGGGGTTGATTTACTAACCTTATAAACATGCCACGAACAAGTATACACCTCTGTAGTGTGTTCCCTCCCAGCATGATCTATTGGTGGAATCTAGACACCTTTGTAGTGTGTACACACCCAGCAGGTGTGTTGTGCAAAGCCCTGCATGAATTGCAAGGTGATGTTGTGTAAATTAGCTCTACATTGTGTTGCTTGCGTTGATGAATGCAGGAATGTAAATGCATGAGCTAACCTTTTTTGTCTAAACTGTGAAGCAGCATTATATATGCATCATGTGCATGGTTTTTCCATATATGGCATTAGTGGAAATATGCTTTTAGAGACTTTTTGGTTAATAAATACGTTTTGCTGTGTAAAAATCACACGCACCTAGTGCGTGCGTGTGTTTAGGTTAGTAAATCACCCCCTGTGTGTCTTTACTAAAATACATTTTGTGATTTTTTCAAAATCTGATAAATGTGCTTTGTTTGTGGTGTTCCAGGACAGGTATTAGAAACACTACATCCATCTATTTATTTTTATTTATTACAGGTATTATGGCACTGACAATTTACGCAGCACATTCACATCAGTCCCTACCCTCAAGGAGCTTACAATTTAAGGTCCCTATCTCACATGCATACATAGAGGGCCGACTTAGACAGGAGCCAATTAAGCTACCAGCATGTCTTTGGAGTGTGGGAGGAAAACGGAGTACCCGGAGGAAACCCAGGCAAGCACAGGGAGAACATGCAAACTCCTTACAGATAGTGACCTGGCTGGGATTCAAACCGAGGACCCCCCCCAAGCTGCAAGGCAGAAGTGCTAACCACTACGCCACTCTGCTGCCCAGTACCTCACTATCATTGATATACCCCACTTACCAGTGGGTTTATCAATGATATTTGTCAGCACATAAAAAGCTCTATACTGGGTTCAGTTTTTTCTAAGTCATAAACTTCACATCTGTAAATAAAAACCACCACCTATTATCAAGAATATATCTCAAATATGCCATAATATACAAATGATTGCTTGCTCTATATTAGTGATATAGAAAATGACACATAAACACTCACATCTTGTGGAGGGTGAAGCACTCTGCAGCCGAGTGCGGATTTCAGTTTCTGTAAAATAACACAATAATAAAATTATTATTGAAAAGTATTGAACATAAAATCTATGTATGTATTGCATTAAAGTGTTTCTTCTTTTGCTATAAAAATCCAAAAGGACCGGTAACTAGTCAAAAATGTATATGTAAGTCCCCACATGTGTATATAAAAACATCTTTGGTTAACTATGCTCTAAAGTCTTTCTCTATTGTTCTATTGCATCAGCCATTTTGGGTTTAAGAATCTTGGGTTTAAGAATCTGAGGACTGTCAATGGCTTTATTCATTGTTATCCTACAGAATAAATAGGCAAACAAAATGTTGATTTAATGGTCTTTTTACACCTTTGAGAAATATATAT